ATGTACTAACTACCTTGTTTAACCCTCATAATGCTACCATGAGGAGATAAGGAACTGAAGTCCGGAGAGACTTAGCATCTTTCCCCAAGTCACACAGCTTATTCATGGCAGAGATGGAGCTTGAACTGAGGTTCAAGGGCTCCCGATTCTGCTTTTTAACTCTCCACTGGACAAAGCTGCTCCAGGAGGGAGGCTGCCTCCATGTGCCCGCTCAGCTTGTAATCCTTGTTTCCTTCCTGCCCCCTCCCCACTTCCTTCCTCTCTCCAGCCCATCATCTTCGTTTCAGACAGAGCAAACAGCAACAAGGAGCTGGGTGTGGACCAGGAATCAGAGGAGGGCAAAGACAAAACAAGCCCCGATAAACAAGAGAAATCCCCACAGGTTTCTGAGCATGTGCATGAAAGGGGTGGCCAGTCCACAACCGAGGTCTATGCTCTTGGGGTCCATGGGGGAGGGAGGGGCTTCAGGGATAGGGTGTCTCTTTAACACCCAAAGGTTTGAATTTGTCACACTGATGTTTTCTCTCATCGAGTTCTCCTCTAACACTTGGGATGCTGCTTGGGTGAATGGTTTGGGGTCAGCTGCCACCAGGCTGGTCCTAGGCGTGGGAAGGACAGGCCGAGCCTCCGCGCTGGAGCCTATCCAGCAGGACAATGAAGGAAGCAGGATGCAAAGACTGAAACAGGAGCAGCCTGAGAGAGCATGAGACCAAACAACTCCTGTTTCCTGGTGTCATTAACAATGGGGAGGATAAAGAACAGTAGCAGAAAATGAAGCTGATACCAGAAATAGGTTCTCTAGAGCTCAGGGGAGGGTGTTAGACTGGAGTGGGGAGAGGTGGTCGTATAGAACTTAGTGGAGGGGAGGCTAAGAGGCGAAAGTCCACAGATAAATCCAGGGCCATTTCCATCCTCTTGTGCCCATGCAACGGAGTGGGGAGGAGAGGGGCGTCCTCTGAGGGTTTGGCCTTGATGACAGAAGCGCCTGGAGGTATCAGAATGATTTGGCTCCCTTTGTCCTGCTGCAGCCAGTTTGGCTGGGATGGTCAGGCTCAGAACGGTCGGCGGAGAGGGCTCTAGTTGGTGGGGAGGGAAGGAGAGGACCAGTGGGGCTGTATGCCTGTCCGCATAGCTCATATACCTCCTCTGGCTGGGGTGTTTGGGCTGGGGAGGTATGGAGTGAAGGGTTGCTGGGGCCTAGATGATTCTCACTCCAGAAAGAAGAGCATTTGCCCTGTGCCCAGCTCCTGCTGCCACCTAGGACTATTATAGGCACTCTGGCTCCTCCAGCCCAGAAGGAAGTTTCCTCATAGGTCTGTCCATTTCTTTGGTCCCCGCGAACCAGTTTTCCTTTGTGCTTCCACAGCCACAGCCTGGCAATACTGACCAGGAAAGTGAGGAACAGCAACAATTCCGCAACATTTTCAGGCAGATAGCTGGCGATGTGAGTACCTCCCAACCCCACTCCCAGATACTTCCCTCCTTGATTGACTGCTCACTTGCCAGTTATTTCATTATTGTTCCGTGGAGGTCATTTTAGCTATTGGTGGACACAGGGTATATGAGTGTAGCACAGAAATGTACAAGTCAAGTCCTTGAGCTTTAGACCAACACATCCACCGGGTGGCTCTGAGCTGCCCACTGCAGTCTGGACAGCTGAGGGTGCAGTGCATCTTCCTCAGAAAAGCCCCAGCTTCCCCAGGACAGAAGAGCACTAACAGGGACTTGACAACCACGGACAGCTGGGATTTGTCTTGCAAAACCAGTGCTCCATCAGCTGCTGTACTCTCAAACCATGACTCCTCTCCCTTCCTCCTCAGGACATGGAGATCTGTGCAGATGAGCTCAAGAATATCCTTAACAGAGTTGTGAATAAACGTGAGTGGCTCAAAGTCTGGGGGGACGGGCCAGTGTGCGTCCGGTTATCTGAAAGCAGCTCCTCCCTCTTCTCCATACCTCCCAGATAAGGACCTGAAGACACAAGGGTTCACGCTCGAGTCCTGCCGTAGCATGATTGCTCTCATGGACGTATCCTTCCTGCCACCCCTTCCCAACCCTCTGTCATCAGACCCTGTGCAGCCTCTGGGGGGGAGGCGCTAGGGCAATAACGAGGGGTGGCCAGTCAAGCAGAAGGGCCCAATTGGTGCCCAGGGCAAGATTTAAGGAGGTCTTGAGTCAGAACTGCCTGACTGCTGGTCTGAATGGGGCTGTTGGAGGAGACATAGTCAGAAAGAACATTGGCTCCTGCTCTTACCTCAGGCCTGGGATCCTGCCTGGGGTCCTGCCCAGTAAAAGTGGTCCTTAGGAGAAAGGCTCCCTGGGTTATAGAGAAGGAACTTTGACTGGGGAGGTACAGAGTGGGTGTTAAATCCCAGGATAGGGAAGTGGGTGGGATATCCTGGGCAAAGCCGTCCTTTAGGGCTACCTTCCCTGCAGAATCCCCCAGAAACCCCTCTCCCAATCCAGGGGGATTTTGCTATGTGCCCTGTAGCCCTGAACTCCTTCCTCCAGACAGATGGCTCTGGGAAACTGAACCTGCAAGAGTTCCATCACCTCTGGAAGAAGATTAAGGCCTGGCAGGTGGGACAAAAGAAGGAAGGTGGGAGTGAGGAAGGGATTGATTCGTGGGTTTAGTGTGTGACCTCTGTCCTCAAATTTTCTATTCCCAGAAAATTTTCAAGCACTATGACTCAGACCAGTCCGGCACCATCAACAGCTATGAGATGCGAAATGCAGTCAATGACGCAGGTGTGGGGAAGAAAGAGGGTGGCCAGGATGCAGGCTGGAGCTGGTGGGAGCAGGAATGGGAGGGGAGCACTGGGCCACTGGAGCCCGACTAGAGAAAGGAACGAGAAAGCGCTTCTCATTTTCCTCTCCCAGGCACAGAGTGACCAGGATGCAGGGACGATAGAAAGCAGGCGTGAGACTCCAACCCTACTCCCTCCTCTCCTGTGCTCTCCTCCACAGGATTCCACCTCAACAACCAGCTCTATGACATCATCACCATGCGCTATGCGGACAAGTACATGAACATCGACTTCGACAGTTTCATCTGCTGCTTCGTCAGGCTGGAGGGCATGTTCAGTAAGTGGAGGGCTTCCCTTCTCTTGTGCCCTTTCTGCCCCATCTCCCGCAGTGACAGCGGGAATCTCAGCCTGATCACCTTCCAGTCCATTCTATCCAGACCGAACAAAGGCAAAGGCCCTCTTTAGGCTCAGAATGGGATGGCAAAGGGAGGGTTACTGGTGTTACTCTACCTGGCAGATGTTTGTGCCGAAGGACAGTACTTAGCACATGGTCCTCTTAAGAACAGTTATAGTAGTGGAGGGAGTGAGCCTGTAACTGGCCTCTGGCCTGTGCATTCTTCCACACAGGAGCTTTTCATGCATTTGACAAGGATGGAGATGGTATCATCAAACTCAACGTTCTAGAGGTAAAGCCTAACAGAAGCGGTACACACCCCCTGCACCCTAACATTCGAGGTGGAGGAATCCATGAGGAAGACTGGACACACTGTGTGTTCCTCAATTCCCAACGGTGGTGGAGGGCTGGGACAGGAAAGGAACATAAAGGGAAGCTTGCAGCTCAGTGGGATGTGGCTCATAAGAATATGTACTAGGAAAGGCCCCAAGGAGATCTCTGTTCCTAAAATGACTTTATGCTGGAAAATATGTACCTTCCAGGAGAGATCTGTGGAAGGATACAGTAAACTGCTGCTTCTTAGAAAATCTTCCCAGTGTCTGGCATGCTGGAGCTGTCCCTTTCCTCTACCCTGTTAGATCCCGAGGGCTGGGCTCTCTCTTGTTTGCATTCTGATCTTGGGACTTCCTCTTTCAGTGGCTGCAGCTCACCATGTATGCCTGAACCAAGCTGGCCTCATCCAAGGCCATGCAGGATCGCTCAGGATTTCAACTTCACCCAACAGAGCCAGAGACACTTACCTCAGAGGACACGGTAGCTGCACCCCCAGCAGGCTTCCGGGAGCCTCATGAGTCTTGTTCCTCCTCTGCTTCACTCCCCTCTCAGCCTCAGGGCATCTGTCCATCTGTCATGCCCAGCTTGATCCTTTAGTTAAGGAATGAGGAAGGGAGAACAACTTTGTCCCTTTGCTACATGGAGGCAAGTGTGTCTGTCTGCCTCAGCTAGCTACAGCGCAGTGAGAGCTCTGCTTGGAGTCTGAGTGGCCTCAGCTCTGAGGCAAATGCTCTCCCTAGCTTGCTCTAGGCTGTTCGCAGAAGCAGCTGCCAGTGGCACTCAGCACCTCCTCGTGCTAGAGCCCTCTATCACCTTTACGTTCTCCCGCCCACGGGACAGTAACCCAACGAGCACTTAGTTCCGCCTGACTGTTTCAGGATGGGCCTGCTCTGGGGTAAACAAGCTCACTGGAAGGGGGCTGAACACTTTGGGTTATCTGACTCTTAAGTCTGGCTGCATTCTGAAAAACACTGATCTAAATAAAGGCACATGTATGGCTGGTTTGATGGTGTTTTGGTTTCTCACATTCAGATGTGAGCCATAGCAGGACTGAGTAGCTCCACTCCTACCCAACACATACGGAGAGCCCTGGTTTCAGAATACAACAAAGGGAAATACACTTACATACAAAAAGATCCTGAACCCCACTTTAATCATGCCTTTTGCTATTTCTTGAGCACAAGAATCACTGAGATGCTTTCCAAAATAAATGAGGAAAGGAAGGGGAATAGCTGATGGTGTCTAGAACATCAAGACAAAATGGGTCACCTATAACCAGAGGGGCCAGTTACCTGAGTGTAATGGAGCAGAGAGTTTTTAATTCTAGCTCCTCCACTAACTAACTAACCTGCTCTATGACCCTGGACAAATCCTTAAATGTATCAGTTTGCTAAACTTATCTGGACCATGGTCTGTGGGATATCTCTAACGATCTTGCATTTTCCATTCAAGTTCTTTCTTGTTTTCTACACCAACATGGGAAGGAAGGGTTTGGCTATAAATATGTAGATAAGGTAACAAAAATAAACAATTAGTAAAAGGACTTTATTTTCCTCTTATATTCGCTTTTTATCTTGCTTTACAAAGTTAGGAAGTTCACAGCTTTATACCAAAATGTAAGAAGGCTAAGCTATTTGCTTATGAACATTTGTAGTCAAGAGTCATCAGATTTCATTCGTCTAATCCACATTTAATTAAAAAAAAAATCAGACACCAAGGGTGCTGGAGCAGCTCTAGGGCATATATTTCTTTTAAGCAAGATAAAGATCTTCCACAGCCTCTCCTCCTTAACTCTTTCCTCCTCCAATTAATTGGGCTGCTACCTTGAATTCAGAGCAAATCTGGGAAACGTTAGTCGCCATGTGACCCAGCAGGGCCACATACCTGGCGGTTGGAGGTGAGGTTAGAGGCTGTTGTCTGATAAGCAGCAGGTTTGGTTTACATCAGGATTTCACATCCACTTGTTCATGGAACTCAGTATAACCCCAATCATCTCGACCATAGCTTCTACTCCTATCTGTTAGACAGCTTCCCTGAAATGCTAAGGATCCTGATGATTTGGGGCAGGGATGAAATCACTATTTTATCAATGTGGCAAGCATAGACTTCTTAACAGTTTTAGGAGCTTTCCTTTAGGTAACAGGAACAAAATTCGTAAGTCAGTGTATATAAATTTGCAGTTATTTGAGCAAGCCAGAAGGTATGTGCTGCTTAAATTCCACTCTACAATATACTTCGATTTCCCTTCCAATGAATTCTCTCCCATAAAATAAACCATACCGTTCTGCTAAGTGTTGCACATCTACTCCCACCAAATCATCCAGATACCTAGTCAATAAAGTTGTCTACTCAATAAGCTACCAAAAAGAAAAAACAAAAACAAAAAACACAAAAAACCTCTGTTAAGCAAATAATCATTTAATCAGTAATAACGTTGCCTATAAACATAGGCAGGTCAGGAGCTAAACACTCAACTGCTAAGTCTTCTGAGGCAGAAAAAAAAAACTGCAAAAGCAGGAGTGTAGTAGCAATGACGCTCTCTCCAATTCAAGTAACATCAGGTCAAGGTAATTCTTTGCTCTTAGAGTCTTGTTTCATTGTGTTTAACTGCTTTATACTGAGTAGAATACTATGCCAAAATTCTGAACCTGATAAAAAAAACTTCAGGATAATACTTGAAGTGACTGGTATTTCATCAGAACAAATGCCATTAAAACACTAGCATATGCACACACATATGCTACGGTTTTCTTGGCTTCTAGCTGTTAGAAGTAGGCACAAGTAATTAAAAATAACATTCTAAAAATGGCCTCTAGCTCCTTACAAGAAATGAGTTGTGTCTTGTCAGGTTATGTAACAGTTTCCTTCTTTCATTAAGTACTAAATACCAGAGTCACCGCAAAATCCCTGAGCCACTGCTCTACTCCGAGGGGACACAGAGGGCCAGACTCAGTCAAGACACTGGAGAAGACTTACAAACAGCCTAAGTTCTGCGTTAACTTTCCAGACACTTAAAAGTAGTAACACATAACCATAAGCAGCCAAGATGCTTACGGTGCCTTTATTTCTAAAGAGACAGCTAGAACAGTGCATTTAAGGCAATACACTAACCTGATATTAAATGAATTTTACATATTCTTGAAACAAAGACATTATTACCATGGCTTCAAAGAAAATTTTTGCGAAACGAAGAAAAGTATTACAAGTATAGGTGCCCACGCGCATATACACGTACAAGGAGCATCCGTAACTGCACAAAGGCAGATAGACTGCACGATTCTATAAAGGTTAAGCTCAAGTCATTTTTACTGATTCCATCAGTCTGTTCATACATTCAATGGTTCCCCACGACTGCCCAGCACCTCACATACCCCCTTCCTGCTGTACAAAGGCTCCACCACTCTCATCTTTTCAGACATGTCCTCAGGCAGGACAGGACACCTATGCAACAGAGCATACAAGACTTTCTCAGCACGCTGCCCAGCCAACGCAGAAATCACCAATCCCAAACCCACGGAACAACTTAGCTCCTCTGGTCACCTGTACAGGAAATGGGGGTGAGAGATGGGAAAGGCTGCTTACTCTCAGACAGAAACAGCACAAATAAACTTTATGTAACAGGATCTTCTCTGTTTTCTCTCATGTATCATGCAACTCTCAATAGTGTAGTCCCATTCACAAGGACAGAAGTAAATAGCTTGTGGGGCCATTCATTATCTAGATGTAGCTCCAAGACTAGTTCTTAACATCTTTTTTTTTGGATCCAGTAAGAACTAGTGGAGCCTTTCCTGGAAAAAAGAACACTTTCTTAGTCTTGCATACAATTCCAAGGGATTCATATACTCTCTTGAAACCTATCCATGAACCTGTAGCGAGGTCCCCTGCCCTAGGGCCTGAGTGAAGACATATGAGAAGTGTGTGCACTAACAGGGGTGGAGATAAACCTGGATGCGCTGCAATCCTAAGAAAGAGTAGGCATCACATCTGAAGCTTGGTATGTGGCGCTGGGCTCTTTTTCCTTCTCCTCTCTTTCTCTCTGTAGAATCTTTCAGAGTTTTGAGAATCTAGAAACAAAAGGCTGAAAAGCAACACTTCTATGGCTTCTCTTAAGAGTCCAGAGAAAATCCAAAAACAAAGCAGCCTCACGAAGGCTTTGTTCTTTTGGCTACTCTCAATGGACAGGTAGGGTCTTTTCCTTCACCCTACTTCACACTTCCTTCCCAGCAAGTGGGGAGGTGAAGGTTAAGACATTGGTCTGAGGCCTTAAACACTGTATTCATTGCTTTATCCTGACTCCCCCATCTGGGGACTGTGGGTGGGTGGAAAGCACCCTGTGAGCCCAGAGGAAGTGTTTGATGGCTGCTGTCAGTCTAGGCACAGCTAGAGAGGGGAAGAGAGAGGGGTTGGCAATGAAGCAAACTAAAAGGTTTCAAACCCACAGCCCACTTGGAGAGTCAGAAACCAGAAAAGGAAATAAAGGCTACACTTCCAGTTCGAACAGCCTGCCAATACCTGCAGTGAGTGCCCAGATTTTCAAAGCAGATGTCAAGTCTGTGCACTGCCTTGAACGGAGCACTCTATCAAAACTTGCAGAGTTCAACAGGAAGTACTGTCTGTAAGGACTTGTCATTATGTGATTTGCTGTCTGAGTTCCTAAAATATAATCAGAAGAGCAGTTACTCTAGCTGTTAAAAATCTACTGTGTATCCCGTTAGCATTTAAAGCCAGATCTGTCCATCCACAAAGTAGGAGAATATTGAAACACACTGTACCTAATTCTTAAGGAAGGAAACTATTTGCTTCCAATTTAAATACCCAGTTGTTACAATAAACTGATTGCAATTATTAAGGAGAAATTAAAACTGATCCAAAAAATCTAGCATTTGAACAAATTTGTACTTAGAAGCCTGACTACAGGTTTAAACCATCATAAGAATCTAAACTAAAATCACAAGCTGAAATCAATAAAATAGATGTATGATTAGGGTCAAACTGGGTAACCAATTAAGATCTATATCTTTAATAAACCTCTGAGAACACTAGTAGCATAAAGTACTATATTCCATGCTGTCCCAAAAGAGTTCCTTAAAAATCTGTTTAAATCTGACAAACCTCCAGGAAGAATTTATAAGTGTAACCTATCATCCCATAGAGCTGCCCAGACTTATGCTAGTGGTCAGCCTGGCTAGTAACCACTTTCTCCTTCCCTGCTTCACTGGGGAAGGGAAGAGATTGGCCTGTGTAAGGGGCCGATGTGAAATCAGTTCAACTGAAGACATCCCAACATGGGAGGCAAAAACTTCATGAATCAATTTTGCTGTCATCCTCGGCATGCCGTTCAATGTGTCCTGTGGCATCCTAAGAATAAAGGGAAAAGGGTCCATGAGAGAAAGTCAAAGCCAAGGAGAGCTTCATGGGTACATCTTACAATGGGCAATTATGACCCAGTACTTTGCTAATTCTTACCAAATTATGCACTTAAAGAGGAGTTCTTAACACAGGAACACTGTAAGAAAACTCTAGGTTCAGTTACTGGATTGCAAATGTGAAAACATTTTCTTTAGGCTTTTTCTCAAAAACCACCTAATTTTTCATCCGAAACCTCATTAAGTTATCCCCCAAATCTCTGAAGAATGATAAAAAGAAAAATCCCAATATTCTCCCTGTTAATTGCAATTTGAACATTCTAGTAAGCAAAAAAAAAAGGTTTAATAAACCCTGCTCTGAGCAGTCAAATGACCTCAGGATGACCTCAAATCCCACTGATGTACCTGTTTGGATCCTTTCCTAGCAGTAAAAAAAGCATCGCAGTTCTTCCAGCGACATTTCAGAGTTTGAAAGTTTGGATTTGTATGGTCAGTCAGCAAATGTTGTTTTAAATGATCTACGACGCCAAATATCAGAGAGCAACCATGCCACTGGAGAGAAACAGAATAAAAGGGTAAGTTATAAAGGGCATAGGAAACGTGCAATGAGAACTTTGTTCACTCGTATCCCATAGGTAAGCCCCTCTTCTTTAATTTATTCTTAGCTGGAAAATTCAACAAAGTCAGAGGTAACCAAATCAATTTTCAATATAATGAACCTTGAAAAGACTGGGAAGTCTTCTAGACACTTCAGTATTTTGAGAAGGCAAAGCATTAAGATGCATCACTAGATAAGAGGTTAGCAAATACTGACAGACAAGTTACATAAAATTCAATTTAAACCATACTTCTTGCTTATCTTGCTACCATAAAATGAGTTTCTTAGTCCATTTATTTAAAAAGGCAAAGAGCTTTCCCGTAACACTTTTAAAGGGTTACTTTTCAACAATTCTAAGAACTGTTCACTTGGAAACTTGAAAACACAAACGTCTGATAAAGGAAACTGCACTTGTGGAAATGTTCATCGTAGAAAACCAAGGAAGTCCTGTCTGCCAAGGAAGCCTGACTTCACTGGCAATTTTTATCGCTTGAATCATAGCCTTGTGATTACTTTTTTTTTTAAACTGTATTATAAATGTGGCTATGTTTCACTTGTTAGTCAGAAAGCATTAAGACTCTCTGTTTTGGCTTTTTCCCTAGAAGCTTGTAAGAAATCTTAACGATTCTAATTCTAACATGCTCACTTCTAAAAAGTGGTGCAAATTTGACTTTTTTCTCTGCCAGCACTATTCTATCCTTTAAGCTTTAAAACCAGAAGGTATTTTCCTCATTTCTCTAGGCAAGTTAACTCTCTTTTTATATTCTGGATCCTGCTGTAACAGATTTTGCTTGCCTTCACTGAAAAAACTGAAAATCAAAGACAGTGATGTGTAAAAAGCTGAAAAGTAATTAGGCCATAGACAAACCTAAAATCAAATTTTAAAATGGAGAGTGTCAAGTTCATTTCATCAATGTTGAAAAGGAGGTTAGGGTTTAGGGGGAAAATAAATTCAGTGCCATCAACTTTTCTCTGGTTACTACTAATTACTGGAACTGATAAAACAAATTAAGGCTTACAAGAGATAGTGTGAGCGTTTTGAGAATTAATCATCAGCCCCTACCCAAAAATAAAAACCACGCAATTCAGTCTAGTGAACTGAGGTTTAGGACTTCAAGAATACAAATTTTTATTTGCCTACTCCTCAAAAACCAATGAGAAACAAACCAAACTATTAATACATGTAATGCTTGAGGAATGGGTATAGTGGTGTGGGCAGGTCAGGAAAATAAAAGCACTTCTACTCTTCTGTCACAAAGTTCTGTAACTGATGATGTTTTTATAGGCATGGATCAATATTAAAACAAAACAAAACACACCAAGGAGATAATCTCTGAGTGGATGATACTTAAATATACTTCACATCTCATCTTAAGACAGACTTTTCATTAAAGAAGTATAGAAGTATTTAATGTATTTTTTAAAAATAAAACTTATTGGTCCTACAGTGGAAGGCATCAAGTAGACGCTCAACATGGAAATGCTAAATCGATGATAATGAAGACCTGGAAACTGGCCCAGGGTTGAGCAACATCAAAGTCTCGTGACAAGGATAGTTTCACTCCTTACCCAACAGCGGTAATTCTGCATCAGATTTAGCCTCACAGCCTGAATACTGCCATCATAACAGCCAGTATAAATCTGGAGAAAAAGGTTTATTGTATCAGACCACAACAACACACAACAAATTACTACAAAACAACCTCAAAATAATAGTCAAAAGCTACTGGTAGAGCTACAACAAGAAAACATAAAACTAAACCCAAACCATCCCCAGAGTGCCATAACGGGAAAGTATCCTCTAGATCTTCTAGTCTGGACACTTGGAAGCTGTGCTCCCTAGAGAGCCACTCTGGGGACCGTGGCAGAGAGCAGAAGAGGCAGGGCTTAGAGGTACCCGCCTACACTTTAACTGGTGTAGTTTTGGCTTCTACTGGGCATTACATACTAGGCAACTGTATCTCAGTGGAACATAAGGTTCTACTGCTTCCAGTGTGAAAAACATCCACTCTGGTTCAACTTTGTAATTTAAAAATAAAATAAACCCAAAGATTATCAGGGTTAAATGAGTTAGCGTCTACTTTTAGGTCTGTTATAACTACACCACGCTGGCCAAATCTCCTGACTATTCCAAAGTACCATTCAAATCATAATGTCTCTGAAAAAAGTACCAACATTTTTTTTTTGGTAAACATCTTAATTTATCTTCTATTTAATAGTGGCATCAGATTTTTGTTGTAATTATTTCAGATATTAATAAAAAATGAAATCTTCAACAGTGTTACTGGATTATTTTTCAATATTATAATACCAGGAGATAGAAAGACATTCAATAATGAGGCATATTAAAAACAGATGTTATTTTTGGAAGTGACAAGTAGTAACATTATTAACAGTTTGCAGACTTCTTAGTAAACACATTCAAAGGTAAGTATGTGGCACGGCAAACGATACTCACCATACTTTTATGGATGGTCATACACATAATCATGTCTTTGTGTCCTCCATAAACTTGCAATCGGTCATGGGACTTAGGTGGAGGGAAAAAAACACAAAGAGAATTAAGGTTATTTATACCTTCCATTTAATAAGCATAGTTCCTGAAGGCCTTTGGCAGCTTTAAAACTACACCTGAGGTACCAAGCTAAAGCATCAATAGCACTTGTGTAGAAACATAATCTAATAGTAATCTTTCCAAGAAGTCCTCCTCCTCAAGGGAAGAGCTGGTAACTGGAAAAAATAAAACCAATAGTGTCAAAGTCTCAAATCTGAAATTGCAAACAAGGAGAACTGGACAGGTGTTGGAGACAATGCCTGCTGGCCACAGGCCATTTAACTTTTGACACCTGTAAGCCTGACCATGCTTCTCAGAGCAGTGTTTCTGAAAGCCTCATCTCACCAGCTTCTCGATAATTATCGAGAGCACTTGTGAAGAAGGCAGATCCCTGGGTTCCACCCCAGCCTTTCCATATAAAATCAACACCCAGTCCAAATAAGACAATCTTGCCAAATCATTCAAGCAAAATACTGGCTCTAAAGTCTACCTGTAATTCATAGACACGAACAAATTTATCCAGGCAGGCAGTCACCATCACTTTTCCTAGGATATTCACCACAGTCACTGCATGATTGTGACCTTTATAGATCCGTACAAGCTCACCAGTCTGCATCAGAAGAGAGATAAGAGTCACCAGACTGACCTTCAAGATTCCTTCCAAATTTTGAGATTTATAATTCTGTAATTCTAACAAGTCATAATTCTGAGACTACTTGTACACACATGTAGTTGTACTAATTTTAACAGATGAAGTACTCCCATAAGCATTTGTTATTTATACAAAATATATGCACAGTATCCTGATGGAATGAACTTAGTGTCACAGAAAGAAAGAGGCCACAATTCTATCTGTATGTATTCTACAGCGTGGGAAGTATTTTCACGTTTGCCACAGCACTGCATCTGGACAAGAAGTCCCTGAGGCTGGATCACCCCAAGATTTACAGACCAGGAACTGAGCTTCAAAAAGTGGACTCTATATCCTGAGCAGAGTCTCTCGGCTGTTTTTATTTGTTCTATTTTAAACTTCATAGCATATCCACTTTCCTAGAGCCTCAGATGCTCAATTCATCTCATGTTTAAGTAAGGCATTCAAACTAAACCTTATATAAACTTTGAGTCTGTCCCCCACTAGGAATTTTTATGAGATCAGAATATCTAGGGTGCTCAATATTATCCAAGAGCTTAGGGACAGGCATTATTATTAAGCCCTTCATTGGAAAAAGGGCTTAATTTAAATTGCAGTAAGTCTGAGGAATCATTCAAGCTTTAACCACCTTTCCATTAAAAGATTTCTTTACACCAACATGCTTACGTGAATGTTGTGGGCATGGACTGACTGATCACTGGAGCCACTGAACACAAGGTCATTCACCACCTTAACGAAAAAAATTCAGTGAAATTGAGTGAGTTAGATTTAGTATTAGCTTCTGAGTTTCCTTTAACTTCTAATGCACACTGGTGAATTCTAATTTCCATCCTATTCTGAAATGAGCATGAACTAGGTATAAAATAAGTTTCTCAGACAAATTTTCTCAACTGAAACTTATGTCTTACCATTAAGTACTCTGATGAATTGACAATGTATTACTGGGTTTGTTGCCTCTTCAGAATGATTATGAAGTAGCCTACAAGGGCATTAGAGCATATCTGCATTCTACAGTAAGATGCTTTTATTTTTTATTTTTTGTTTTTATACTTTTACTTGTTTCTCAATTAATATGTTAAAAAATAGTATGTCCTGTCACGATCCAGGCCTAAATTTAGAAAAGGATTATAATCTTGCACTTGCAAGATGACTGTGTTCTAATAAGGCATTAGACAACATGGGAAATTTCATTTAAACCCTTCTATTTGTGCCAGACAATGAACTCCTGTCCTTTTGCGCTATACTTGCCTTCATGCAAAGAATGGTTTTGCTGTGGCCCTCCAGAGTTCTAAGGAGCAGTCCGTTTCGTGCATCACGTACACTAATGGTACAATCATAAGACCCCACAACCAGCAGCTTTCGGGCACCTTCCTGAGCTGTGGCAAGACAGCTGACAGCCCGAGGGCCATGGCATTCAAAGATTTCAAGTCGTTTGTTGTTCTGAAAAACAAGGTACCATTATATGAAGTAAAAGCAACTTAGCTGGAAAAACTCAACATCAACCAACCAAAATCACTACCTTGATACAAACTCTAAATTCTAACACCTGTGCTAAGTTCTCATACCCACTCCCTATCTCTAACTTCCCAATCCCTGCCATTCCCATTCCAACTCTCCCTGCGTTCATGGCTCCTTTCTCCCCGCTTCAAGAGGGGACAAAGTCTTACATTATAAACTCACTTCTACCTTCAACCTACACTATCCTGATCATAATTAGAATCTGGTTCTCTTTTTATGTCCTCTCTCACTTCCCTTAAGTTAATGATAATGTATGATCAAACTTTTCTTCATATTCAATTTTTTTCCTTGCCACAGACCCAAGAATTCTTTCACTGTTTGTTTTTTGTTGTTGTTATCCAAAATTTATGCACTCTATTTTTCATGGTGTTTCAAAAACTCTCTATTGAGAACCACTTACTTAGATAATCACAGACTCTCTCATTCTCCACCTTTCTGTTATTCTGACATTCTTCTGATTTCTGGTTCTACGTCCTCTCTCCTAACATCATTTAGTAGACACAGAAGCCTTTATATCAATCAGAGTGGCACAGTCACATCCTGAATTCCCAAATAGTCCTTTTCTTCAGATTTTTGATTTGCTTCCCTCATCTCTGCACCAATCTTGCTCATGAAGTCTACTTACCCAAAACTCTAAAAAGGTACTTTAGGGTCATGCATGGATAAAATTCCCAGAAACTAGGCAAAGAGCAGCAGCTGGGAGCCTACAGAGCTGAGCACCAAACTCAGTCACCCTGAGATACTGGGGAGACAGACCGATGGAGTTCAGGACCTGATGGTGGGCAGGCCCAGGTAAACAGCCTGGCTTTCTGTTGAGTCCCAGGAAGCATTACATTCTGGGAGTCTGGTCAAAAATAGATAAGGCCCAGCCCTAACAAGCCTTCAAAATTCGCATCTCTGCAGAAACTCTCAAATCTCTGGCTCAAGGTCTATCTTACCTGGGGCTTTTTAACCATTTAAAGACTATTTCAAAAAATCAATCAATAAATAAAGATCTTCTGAACTTGTCATCATCTTGCCCCAAAAGTCTTGTTCCTAACTTCTATCCACCTTTGACTACATTAATCTCATAAAATAGATGAAAATTGGGTAATTATCAAGTTTTATCCTTTAAAATATTTTAAATCTATTCTTTCTTCTTTATTTCTATTGCCATAAACAAATCTAATCTAGGCTGTTAGCACTTTGTATCTAGAATGCAAAAACCTTCTCTAACTACCCTTCTGTGATCTATTCACATCAAGGGGACATGACACTTGATTATATATGTGTTAGATTCTTCTAACTTGATTTTATGCTTCTTAAAAGCAAAAACCATGACATGTTTTATTGCATCCCTTATGCATAGTTCCAGCTAGCAGGTGGAAGGAGTAGGTACTCATATGAATGATACTGTAATCAGGCATAAAAACATTCCAACACCCTGTTAAAAGATGACCAAGTGACCTTGGGGGTAGAGTGCTACAATTATTTAGTAACCAAACCTATCACTTCTACCTCTGATGACATCTTTTATCCAGTCCCTTCTCTTCACCTTAATCTAATCTTTCATGTCAGCTTCTGTTACAAAGCCTCCTAAATGGTCTCCTTGCCTCCATTAGTACCAGTATTTTCCAATCTGTTCAACTCCAAAGTGACTTTTTCTAAGACACAAATTGGATCATATCTCTCATACTTTAAAGTCTACAAGATGAAGCCCAACTACATTAGCAAAGTACACAGGGCCATCAAGAACTGGTCCATATTCATTTCCTAAGCATATGACAGTACTCAGTAAAGTTTTGCTCAACAAATGGACTTGTCTTGGGATTAGGAAAGAATGAGGCCCATGGGCATGAAGGCAAACCTTTGACTTAGTTCAGTTTACAGAACAGGCTACCTTCATGAAACCCTAAATCAGTTCCAAACCATATCAATGTCATACTCAAAGGAATTTAAGCTCATTTTTCATGGTGCCATTCTTAAAATGAAATAGACTAGTTTAACCTATGACTCATTGTTTGGCCCCAAATCATCAGGCTTGGTTTAGTTTAGTAGAGTTACATTTCGGTCCTGGCACACTTGGGCCTCAGCAGACAGAATCCAGCATCCTGTTTCACTTACAACAGAAAAAAAAGTTTTTGAATAGTGGCTAATTCTGCTGCTTTCTCACACATACCAAAAAAACCAAAAAACAACCAGGAAAAATGTCTGCTTTCTACTTCTTTCCACACACTCTCACACTATTTTCAAGTGGCATGGGAATTCAGCCTTCTCTCCCCAACCACTAACCTTTATGTTGAAGGTGACCACAGTGCCATTTGCCAGTCCTGCATAGAGAATTCGCCATCTACTGTGGAGGCAGAGAACCCGGTCATCCAGCTGTAACTGCTCCACACATTCTCGTGTCTGATAAAAGTACACAATACCTAATCAGCCAAGGTTGAAAGCAAATAAAATGTGAAAATAATCCTTCTGAGAACAGAGTGTGAAATGACTTCTATAAGGAAGAAAATGTAGCTTCCTCCACTTCGTAGAAGATTACCTTAGACTTTTTTTTCTGCTTTGAAATATGTGGCCAAAAACTCTCAAGCTGTAGATAATACAGAAAATGATTGTAACTTCTAATAATGTTACCTATGTTTCTAATTTGGAATGTAGAAATTCTTTAAAGGGCACTATGAATCAGGTTTTAGCCTCTGCCAAAGATAAAGTTAAACCTTCACTTGATGTCCAAAAGGAAAAATGAAGATTATAGTTGTATTTATGATAACTGCATTAATCAAATAGGTGCTTTCCTGAAACTGATTCTCTATTTCAACAGCTCCCAAATACTTCCTTCAAATCAGTGCCAGGTTAGCTGGTCCATAATTACCCAAGGAGCTTTTAAAATATATAGAACCCCAAGCTTCACCCCCAATCCCTGAGACTCTAATTTAGTAGACTCTGGAATATGTATTTTTAAAAATTTCCTTAGAAATTCTGATGCATAGCCAGGTTAAAGAAACACTGTTCCATCTGATCTTCAAGAAACGATTTCCATGTATTTCCAGAACTAGATTATACCAGCAAATCTAATGACCTAGAACCTAGAACAGGACCAGTAACATGGTAAGTGCTTAAGATTGAATGCTGCTGAATGATAATGACCAAAGACCCAAGTGTAGGTTTTTAAAGAGGTCTGGATAAGATGTTAAAATCAAGACAGTTGTAAGTGGGCAAGATGGAACAAGCTATGGGTTAGATGACAAAAGCTGCAGGCTATCAAAGCCTTTGATCTCTTCTCCCAACCTTCTTTCAGATCTAAAGAGTCAGTCTTTTAAATTACCTTCTGCCCATAAAATTATAAATATAAATGCTGCATATGAAAATGTAAAATAAAACACTTGAACATGCTCAAATGTTGCCTCTGGCTAACCCATCCATATGAGATCATTTTATAATTCAATAGGGGAAACAATACAATAATAAAAAAGAACTATTGGTGCATGCAACAATAAAGAAGAATTTCAGACATTATAGTGAGCTAATGTAAAAGAATGCATGCAGTATGGTTTATTTATATGAAGTTCAAACACATAGAAATATAATCTATAAAGATAGAAGTTATCTCTGGCAGGAGGTGGTGACTGGGGGGTGTATGAGGGAAGCTTCAGGAGGATAGAAATGATCTATATTTTGATCTTGATGGGGGTTAAACAAATGTGTACCTATGTAAAAATTCATCAAGCTGTGTACTTGAAATTTGTGTACTTTACTGTATAAAGTTACACTTTAATTTCAAAAACTAGTTAAGAATTTACTATGCCAACCTTTACTCTGTATTAGAACTCTTAAAAATACTGAAAAATCTTCTACAAGTTTTATAAGTCAAAACAGGCCTAAGCTTTTATTTTAACTTCCATTTACTGGCAAGATTGTATTATTTTCAAATAGTTATTTGTACATTCTCTTTTTAAGGAATTTCCTTTTCCAATGTATATATACGGATTCTAGTATTTCTCTTCTCAAAGGTGTAAGCTCTTCACAACATATATTAACCCTATGTTTATCCTATCCTATGTTACAACTGTTTTTCCTTCTTTTCACTGATGATAATTTTTTGCCAAAATTTGTTTACAATTTTCAACAGATTTAAGTATTATTTCCATATAATAAAATTCACCCTGTTAAATATACATTTCAGTAAGTTTAGTAAAGTACACAGCCATGCAACCATCACCACAATCAACTTTAAGAATGTTTCCACCACTCCAAAAAGTTACCTCATACCCTCCTTCAGTCAATCCTCACTATCATACCAGGCAACTGGGACAGTTCTGCCTTTTCTAGAATTCCATTTTAAGGGAACATTTAGTATATAGTCTTTTACATCTGGCTTTCTATCACCTATCATGATGTTTCTGAGGCCCATCCATGTTGCTACATGTATCAATAGTTTCTTTCTTTTTGTTGCTAATATTATTCTACTTTTTATATACCACATTTATCCATTTATCAGTTAGTTGATGGATATATTGTTTCTTTTACTAAAATGAGTAATGTTGAGGTTCCTTCTTTCATTTTGGATACTGGAAATTTGTGGTTTTTCTCTGTTTTGACCAATTTAGCTGTAAGTTTATTTTACTTATCTTTTCAAAAAACTAGCTTCTGGTCTCATTGCTTTTTCCTTACTGTATGTCAGTTTTATATATTATCGGTTTCCATATTGTTATTATTTCCTTTATATATTTAGTTATTTGGAGTTTAACTTTTTCTTCTTTTTCTTAGAAAATTAGATAATTGCTTTTAAATCTTTCTTTAAAAAATACTATAAACATTTAAAACTACAAACTTCCCCCTCAGCAATCCATTAGCTGCATCCTACCAACAGCTGTATGCTTACTTTCATTTAGTTCAAGATACTTTCTAATTTCCCTGTGACTTCTCCTTTGAATCACGGGTAACTTAAAAGTTTTTATTTCATCTCCCCATATTTGGGGATTTCCCAAATTTCTGTTACTGATGTCTAATTCCATCGTGGCTGGAGACCATACCCTAAATGATTTCAATCCTTTTAATTAAGATTCACAGTAAGATCAAGACTTATTTAACGACCTAGTATGTGGTCTATCCGGGTGAATGTTTCATGCGCACTTGAAGAATATATGTATGCTGCTGTTTTGGATGGAGGAGTCTACAGATGTTAATTAGATCTTGCCTGCTGATGGTATTGTCCAGTTCTTCTACATCCTTAATGATTTCTATTTAGTAATCTAACAATTATAGAGAGAGAGGTGTTAAAGCCTTCAACCATAATTGTGAATTTGTTTATTTCTCCTTGTAGTTCTATCAGTATTTCTTCATGTATTTTGGAGCTGCTACTGGGTATATATATTTATAATTGTTCTATATTCCTGCTGTATTGCCCCTTTCATCATTATGGAATGCTGCCTTGTCTCAGTAGTATTCCTTGTCTTAAAGTCTATTTACCCAGAGGAGAGGGTATAGCTCAAGTGGTAGAGTGCACGCTTAGCATGTACAAGGTCCTAGGTTCAATCCTCAGTACCTCCATTAAAAAAAAAAATTAAATGAGACCTGAAGAAACAGAGAAAGGAAGGAAGGAGAGAGAGAAAGATAGAGCAGGAGAGAAGGAATTAGGGGGAGGAAAAAAAGTCTATTTGCCTGACAGTACAATAACCATTCCAGCTCTTTTTTGTTACTATTTGCATAGTACATCTTTTACTATTCTTTTATTTCAACCAACTTGTGTCTTTGAATTCACAGGGTGTGTCTTGTAGACAGCATAGATTTTGGTATTTGTTCTTTATCTAGTCAATCTGTCTTTTGATTTGACTGTAATTCACATTGAATATAATCAGTAAATATGGTTAGATTTAGGTCTCCAATTTGCTTTCTATTTGTCTCATTTTTATTTCTCTGTTCCACCATTTATGCCTTGTTTCCTATTAAACACATGTTTTTTGTATGACATTTATATTCCTCTACTGAATTTTTTTTAACATTTTTTATTGAGTTATAGTCATTTTACAATGTTGTATCAAATTCCAGTGCAGAGCACAATTTTTCAGTTATACATGAACATACATATATTCATTGTCACATTTTTTTTTCACTGTGAGCTATCCTCTATTGAATTTTTAAGCTCCCTTTCTTTGCATTACTCTTTCAGTGGCTGCTCTAGGGCAGCTGTTTTCAGAGGGCCCTAGACCAGCAGCATCATATCACATGTTAGAAATGTAAACTCTTGGGCTCTACCCCAAGCCTCCTGAAACTCTAGGAGTGGGTTCCAGTAATACATGTTTCAGGAAGCTCTCCAGATCCATCTGATGCACATGAAAGTTGTGAACCAGCACTCTAGAGATTACTCTTTAAATTATAACTATCTAGTTCAAGTTAATACTGACTTATTCTCAATAAAATACAAGAAGCTTGTACCAGCACTATTCTATCCTTTGTGTTCCTCTAACCACACATATTCCACCTACATATGTTAAAAACCTAATGATTTAGTATTATAAATTTTGCTTCAAATAATTAAGCCTTTTCAAAAGTTAAGAATGTAAGAAATAAATGCAAGGATAAACAAATGGGACCTAATGAAACTTACAAGCTTCTGCACAGCAAAGGAAACCATAAGTAAAACAAAACAACAACCTATGGAATGGGAGAAAATTTTTGCAAACGATGAAACCAACAAAGGCTTGATCTCCAGAATACATAAGCAGCTAATACAACTTAACAAAAAAACAAACAACCCAATCCAAAAATGGGCAGAAGACCTAAACAAGCAATTCTCCAAGGAAGAAATACAAATGATCAACAGGCACATGAAAAAATGCTCAGTATCACTAATTATCAGAGAAATGCAGATCAAAACTATGACAAGCTATCATCTCACACCAGCCAGAATGGTCATCATTCAAAAGTCCACAAATGACAACTGCTGGAGAGGCTGTGGAGAAAAGGGAACCCTCCTACACTGCTGGTGGGAATGCAGTTTGGTGCAGCCACTGTGGAAAACAGTATGGAGATTCCTCCAAAGACTAGAAATAGACTTACCATATGACCCAGGAATCCCACTCCTGGGCATATATCCAGAAGGAACCCTACTTCAAAAAGACACCTGCACCCCAATGTTCATAGCAGCACTATTTACAGTAGCCAAGACATGGAAGCAGCCTAAATGTCTATCAACAGATGACTGGATAAAGAAGATGTGGTATATTTATACAATGGAATACTATTCAGCCATAAAAAACAACAACATAACATCATTTGCAGCAACATGGATGTTCCTGGAGAATGTCATTCTAAGTAAAGCCAGAAAGAGAAAGAAAAATACCATATGAGATTGCTCATACGTGGAATCTAAAAAAATTTTTTAAATGAACATAAATACAAAACAGAAACAGACTCACAGACATAGAATACAAATTTGTGGTTTCCAAGGGGGTGGGGGGT